TGGGTGGGTAGGTAGGTAGGTAGGCAGGCAGGCAGGCAGGTAGGTAGGCAGGTAGTTAGAGAGGTAGGTACATCGAAAGATAGTCAGACAGATTGATAGACAGATAGACAGATAGATAGATGTATGCATGTATGTAAGTAAGTAGGGCTTCCAAGTGCCAAGCACGTGCGCCATTGACACAAGTCAAGCCACGATCTGATACAGAAGATATACCAATCAGAACGGGGTTCTCGGGTACATCCTAGCATGGCTGTGCACGGACCAGTAGGGCATTGGCATCAGGACGATCGGGACGTCTTCGACTCACTTGATTCAATTGTTGGCAGAGGCTGGGGATCGCACAGTATCTCGTTGTTGGAGAAGCCTGGCAGCAAGCACAAACACACACACACACCACGCGCACACATACAGCACGACCTCCCAAGAAGGAGTCCCGAGGTTCTCGTGCCCGCCAGAAAGGCAGACGGTGCGGTGCGTTCCGAGACTCAAACGGCCGAGCCAAACTCCGAAGCGACCATGGCACTCGAAGTCCTTGCACTGCCACTTTGCGTAACCCGACATCTATCTTCAGCCTGAAATCATTGAATTCACTGGACTCTTAAGCCAAAGCCCCTAAGCTCTAAATGCTCAACCCCGCAGCCGCTGCAACACACACAACTCTTTCGGATTGAAGGATTAGGGAAGATTGGGGGGGCTGAGTCTTAATCTTCAGGCGTTTACGCGCTGAAGGTTTAGGGGGCTCAGAGTTAAGGCTGCTCTGATTTCGGGATCAACTACGACCTTTAAGTCGCTGCGGACTACGAACGACACTCGATCCCGAACCCTGAGCGCTACAGATAATATAAACATAATCTAATATAACATAATACAAAGAATAAACCATAATACAACATAACACAATACGTTATAATGAAACATAATGAATGAAACATAATGCACATAAGATAATCTAACATAAGATAACATAATCTAACATAATATAACATAGTATAACAGAGTATAACATAATAAAACATAATATAACATAATATAACATAATATAACATAATATAATGTAATATATATTGGTATGAAAGACTACAATACAAAAGGCTATAGTACAAGTTACTATATAACGCAAAATAACACAATATAATACAATATAGTAGAATATGATACAATGTATCTTAATATGATGAAATATAATAAAGTATACTACAATATAATACATTATAATACAATCTAGTCTAATACAAATTGAAATATAATCATATAATATAAGGTAATACAGTCTCATATAGTCTACTATGATATAACATAATACAGCATAAGAAAATATTATATATATATATATACACATGTATTCTACAAAATATAACATGCATCCAGCCAGAGGAAACCGGGCCTGTCACGTTCCCCCTGCAGAGTGGCGAGGCTCTTGTCATTCTTCCTTCATGCAGATTGCTGCAGGGATTTTTGAATGCGGTTCAGTCTGGTGGCTTTCTCTCACGAGGGCTTCCGGACCCGTTTTGCCCAACTCGATCGACATAACACGGTAGTATGCTGTAGTGTAATACTGTACCCTGTAGTTTACTATAGTGCATGAAGTTTCATGAGTTATATTTCAATAGCATGCCTTCTGTAATCTCTCCCACTCACCCCAGAATCCTGAAGAAGTGCACGTCCGGTGCCCTAAACTCATGCCGAAAGCCGAACAACGTTGACGTTGAATCCTGTATGCAGACCAAAACCTCGAGCCTTCTATAAAACTGGAAGTCACGGCCCCTGAATTAAGCGCCCATGCCCTTGCGGCCTCCCAGAAAACTCTACCAGCAGGGTCCAGCCAACTTCCCAAGGTAGCGGTGATCGAAAGCTTGAGGGGGCTCAGGGTGGGGTTTCTTTCGGGCTGAGAGTCTGCGTTTAAAGGATGTCTGAGGGTGGAGCATGTTGTGTGTTCGTAGTAGTGCATCACGGTCTCGGGCGGTTTTTAGTTTGGAGCTCATCGCTGAGCATGTCGCTCGCAGCGCTGATTTCAGGGCAAGCGACCTGCATTGTGCCCGTTACCCCGAACCACCCTTTCCGCCCTTACCAATCTGCCTTACGAAACCACACCTTTCACATGCAGTTCCGGCATGCTCCTCGCTTGATCTTTCAACTTCTGAGCTTGGAGAAACTCCTGGCAGCTAGGGAGCTAGGGAGTTTAAAGGTGTAGGGGATTCGGAGTGAAGGGGTGCATGGGTCAAAGATTTGGGGGGGCTGCGATTGGATTTGGTTTAGTTCAGGCGTAGGATACTTGGGGCTCGAGGCCTAGAAGGATAAGGAGTTGACACTAGAAATCCTGCGAAAAGGGGCCCTGATACCGGGCTTTCGGCTTCGGTAGGAAACTCCGGAAGCCTGTACCCCACACTCTGCCTCAAGCCTCGCGCCCCAACCGGATGGTTTCGTCAGTCACACCACCCTGGCGATCCCTGAGTCTTAACCCCAAAAGCTAGCCCTCAACTTCAAAAGTTTGCCCTAGTAACCAAAGATTTATCCATAAGTGCGATACAGTAAACCCTAAACCCTAAATCCCAAAACTCAACTGGAGCACCTAGAGACCTGCAGCTCAAACAGCGACCCAAGAACCGCGTTCCGCCGACTCGACAAGCCCAACTTCTTTCGATCCGAGATCTATCTGTTACTACGGTTGATGGACAAAACCCTGCATGACCTTCTATACCTAAACTATGGGATTTATGGTACTATACTATATTCGGGTCATGCAGCATTTTGTCCATCAACAGTATGATTGGTATTGTTGTTATCATCACTACTACTATTCTTATTGTGATTGTGACTTTTATTATCATTGTTATCAGTGTTGCTATCATCTCCCACCTCCGCGGCGGCCGCTTTTTTCTTGTCTGCATCTATCTTGTCCTGGCGCTCTTAACACTCTACCCTACAAACCCTAAACCCGAAGCCGTGAAGCCCTAAACCCTGAACCCTAAACCCTCACACCGAAAAACCCTAAATCGAAGGGGCCGTTCTCGGGCTTCGTTCTGGGTGGAGCTTCAGCTGCTAGGGGGAGTCCCATGGTTGCGGCGCGTTCGCAATTTCCTTTAAGGTTTAGGGTTTACTGCAAGGTTTAGGATCTAGGATTTGAGATTTAGCGGAAGATTTGAGGATTTGCGGGGCTACTGTTGCTACCTACGTTAAGGGCCAGTTTGCGTCAAAGCATCAAACCAACTTTTGAAGCGTAAGGCATTCAGCGGCACCCACCCACAAAGAGTCTGACAACACCTCAGCACCCAAGAAACTCGAGATTAAAAAGCACCGCAGGCAATTATTAAGGCCCCTATATTACAGTACAAAACCATCAACGGAACTTCAGGCCCTTTGAAGCGAATGACCAGATCTCAAGATTGTCAACCTGTTCATGGACATGTGACTCGTGCTGTGGGGATAGTCAGTATCAATGCCTTTGCAGACTCCCCACAAAGCAGGTCTCAATGCGGCTTGAGACAGCGTCTACAACTCGACTGGTAACAAGACCCGTGACAGACTACGTACTCAGACGATCCCCCTGCACTATGTCCTTTGTCTTCTGGTGCGCTTCAATTTCGGTGTTCAACTCCTGGTCGGCATATGGCTTCAGGGTACACGCGGTTTCTACCTGTGTCATGGGCTGTGGTTCTGCGATTTCGAGAAGCCTCTTAGGTCCTAGGCTCGGCAGGCTGCATGCTACACAAACCTAGGGCTGCTAGTGTACCAGACCAAGGCCTCTGCTACGGGGATGTTATTGTCAAGCATTCAGGCTTCCATATTAGCTGGATCAGAGGACTTCATGCATGGCTAAAGGACCCTCCCGAGACAGGCTTCGAAGAAACCGAAACTTACAAAGCCCCCTCATAACAGATCTTGACGTAGTGAGGTTGGCGATTATCGGATTCGGAACCGAAGATGTCGAGCTGAAGCCAGGAACGCCCTTGGCTCGCGTTGTTCTGAGACCCCGTGGCACGTGATGTTGGGTTCGAGACATCCTGCGCTCCGAACCCAAGCAGCACCAAGCCTTAGAGAGAGAGGGCCCTGCCCAGCCGAGGCTGTGCTGTACTGCTGCAAGAGGCAACAAGCAGACTCCAAGTCGCCAATCTCGGAGAGCCCACAACACATCGACACACCCGGCCGACCTGGATTTTGGTGCTCAAGCGCGTGGTGAAGCTCTGCCCATCTCCTGAGAAAGAGGCTTCGTTAGGTGAGTTTCAGGTTCCGGTTTCGGATGGCTTCAGATAAAGACGGGGTGGAGTATTTACGGCGAGACTTTCCGGAAGGCGAAACCCTTCTACGTAAGCTTCATGGTTTGGTATGGTAGTACCAATTCGATCAGCGTTTCGAGTGTCTGTTTGGTGCAGGCTTGCGAACTCTTCAGCTTTGGTTGCAGAAACATGTAAAACTCAGGGTTTTGGGACTTCAGGTGTAGCTTTGTGTTGTTCAATTTAGATACATGCAAAGGCTGTGCAACGCCCCCTCTCCGAAACCCCAACACCCCCGACTCCGCACCTTTTTGCGAACCGGAAGCCCCAAGAACGAATAAACCCTAAACCCTAAACCCTAAACCCTAAACCCTATAAACCCTAAACCCTACACCCTAAACCCTAAACCCTACACCCTAAACCCTAAACCCTAAACCCTAAACCCTACAGCCCGAAGCTTCATCCGAACTCTTGCGCCCCAACGACAGGACTTCACATGTTTGAGCCCGGCACCTCTCTCACTTAAAGCTTTCATACTGAAGCTGAGTCCCACATCCTCCACACCCAACACCCAGAATCCTCAGAACTAAAAATACTAACAATAATACTGCTAATAATAATAATTATTATTATTATAATAATAAACCAAATCCCAGTCCCGAAACACCGAACCACTTGGAATTCAGCTTTTCTCTGCTCATGAGCACCTTCGCCGTCGTCGTCGGGGACTGACTCAAACGGCTGACAGATCTCTGAGACGAGGAGAACCACGCGGGTGCTGCATTTGCCCTGCAGGCGTACGGCTTGCGCGGTCGTGGCGCATCTGACATTGGGGTTAGTGCTTATTGTTGCGGGCTTGAAGGCTTGGGCTGCAGAGTCTATGAAGACTTTGGGTGAAGAGTCTGGGTATTATAGGGTGTGGGTTGGTGATGAGGGCTTAGGCTTAGTTAGTGTAGAGCTTAACCAGGCACAAACACCCGGCCGCAGTTTTGCAGGCCAAAGAATGCAGACCAGGCCCATCAAAGCATACACCCATAAGAACCTTAGTTGAGTCCGAACAACCCAGCCCAAACCCACTCAAACTCGCAAGAATCTCTTCCCTCTAGAGTCTCCAGACCCCAATCGCCCGCACTCTAAACTAATCCCTTATCCTAAACTTCAACCTTAGTTCCTCAACCTTTAGGCTGCAACAAGCCTCCAGCATCTGGGTCTTCGGAGATTGCGCCTCGCTGAATGCTTTGGGGACCCCAAGGGGCCCGGAATCCTGTCTGGGGTCACTCTAAAGGTACTAGAAGCTTACGGTTACGGTTACTCTGAGGGTACTTTACAAAGTTACATGCTACTATAAGGTTGCCATAAGAATCCTGTATGGTTATTATAGGGTTGCTCTGACAGCACCACAAGGTTACTCTAAGGGTGCTACAAGGTTACACCATGTCGAAGATCCCACGTCTTGAGCCCGAGACTGTAAACTGGCAAAAGTGTTAAGTAAGTTTAGGGTTTAGGGTTATCTTCGGCTTAGGAATTACACTCAAAGGGGTAAGGTGCGGCAAATCGCCAAAGAACCCTCAAGACAGTGAAAAGCCAAGCAAGATCACAAGCCGGGACCCCCCGAGAAGCTAGCGGTTGAGGTCAATCCTCTCCCTATTCAAACCCCAAACCCAAAAACCTGTGGGAAAAAAACTGCGCAGCCGGTGAAAACTTACCCTGAAGCTTCAAAGTCCCTCGACAGGTCGTTGTCCAGCTGAGCAAGAGCCCTAAACTTTATACGCCCTAAACCCAATGCCCCTCAACCCAATCAAAAAGGACCAAGCTTCGGACCTGAAAGCGAACGAGGCCGCTCGCCTGTGGGTTCAAGGGCAGCTGCAGTTGTCGAAGGGCTACCGACTGGGAGTATGTAGGTGCGTGGGGATTAGACAAGAAAGCACATGAGTGCCAACTGACTGTCGGTCCTCCTCTACTTTAGGGTTTAGGGTTTAGAGTTTAGGGTTTAGGATGGACTTTGCTCTTCTTTTCGATTGAATCTCTGCGAGACGGATTCGGAAGGATACAGGCGAAGTCTCGCCGCGTGTGTTTATGCACGTGCATGTTCGTTCCTAGAAGCCTGACCGATATTGCTGTTTAAATGCTGGACCAACAAGCGTCCCCAGATTCACTAGATAGCTCTGGCTATAGCAGCCTGTAGATTGTATCGCGTGGTGCCTGCGGGCTGATAAACCATTACCGCCTGGTTCATGAGCCTCATCGGACCCGTATAGAACCTTTGTGCAGGACCCTTCTCAGAACAGATAAGATGCTTCAAGGGCCCTCACAGACCCTGACGGTCGCCTTCCTCAGCCTCTCGATTGAAACTACTTGGAAACGGGTTCCGCTGAATCAGAATCAGGTGGGGTATCTTATGGTAGACTGGACTCTAAGGGAATACCAATACGAACTATTTAAAACCCAATGCTACGACACCTAACTGCTACTCGTCACACCTTTGTGTGAGTATGAAAGCCTTTCAAATCTCCCAAACCTGAAACCAGGGCAACAAATAAAGCGGAATGCAGCGAGACGTGGGAAACGATACTACACGGCAAACACTGATAAAGTGCCATCTGCCAACTCACTGACTCCCCGCACCTTGCGCAGAATCACAATTCCCAAATCAATTGCACTCTGCGCCATCCTGGCACTGGCAATAAGGCTTGGGCACGGAGGGTTCTGAAGCTTTTTCAACCTCCTTACAACCCAATGGATCTGTCTTCCTCAAAGGGCTCATGGGCAATGCGCATTCTCACGTGCAGTAACGCAGCATGCTATAGAGTCATGACCGTCGCCATCTCCATCGTCATCGTCAGCCTCAGAATCACCATCTGCATCACCATCTGTATCATCAGTACCCCATCATAGTTAAGAGCACCATCATCGCAAGACCTTCAATACATTTCGACATGAACTGGATGAAGTCTGACAAAGACAACGCCCCAGTGGAAGACGACAGAATCTGAAGTTGGAGGGAACAAGAGACTGTTCACAGTGCCCGAATCATCATTGGCTAGGAAACCTTACAACTCAACCCTTCACTGGAAACCTCACGCCCTACCGCCACAGTCAGAGCAACGCTTGCATTGCACCAATGAAATTACATCAAGTACAACCTATCAAGACAGAAGGGCATACTTGACGGCCACCGGCCAACTACAGGCGGGTTTATGATGCAGTGTTCGTCCTGGCTTTGCGGCTTCAGGATTCATGAGCTTTCAGGCGTCGCAGCGACACACCCTTTTTTGATCATTGCTGGGCCATGCAGCCACTCACGTGTCAGCTCGACAGCAATGGGCGCTTTGAAGCTGCGTCTTAGACAAGCACGAAGCGTTGTTCTTCTCTCCTTAGCTAGGCCTGCGTCTTACTCTTTGGGACATAGCTAGACCGGCTTCGAAGCCCGAAACCTTATGCTAAACAGCTGATGAAGATCTCGAGCAGCTCAAGCAGACCAGAGTGCCGAAGATGCAGAAATCTTGAAGCGGTTGGGCTTTTGGGCCCTTTCGGGCTGAGGGTTCGGAGATAAGAGCCTGATACGATAAGCCAATGCATAAAGCAAAGGTAGTCGCAGTGGTGACGTCCAAATCTGGCTAGGCAGCTGCTGTGTATATGGCGTACATGCTACCTTGCATCCACTATGTTATGTCGAGAGCGATGCTATGCTAAGGCTAAGGGTATTGTTCAAACTTCACTACAACAGGCCATGAAGCTGCACTTCTTTAGATAGGGTGGTGAACGCCCTTCTGAGGCTTAGATTTTTTGGCTGAGGAATCCTTGGCGAGGGAGCTTAAAGTGCATAAGCCCTTAGGCCCGTGGGATGCTCACATCTATGCCAACCCATCGGCATGTGCAGACACAGGCCCAGACAAGGACATAGACATAGATACACGTATGTAAATATAAATAGATATAATATATATATATATATATATAAAGTAATCTACGTGCAAGCAAGTCTGTGTGTGTGTATATGCATGCATATATATATATATATACAGACTGGTCCAGTCGGTATCCGCTTGCAGATTACAAGGCCCACTCAAATTTCTGCGCTATGTCGAGCAACTCTCCTCAGTTCTCTAAGGTTTGCCAAGTACCAACACCATCTCGACTGAACGGGCTTCGGGAGGGGGATTTCGACGGAGAGCAGTGCGTTTGCTAGTCCTACTGTGCAAGAGGAGCTCATCTATACGCATGACGTAGCAGGAACACTGGCCAAAGGCAGTAAAGACCCTGGTTCCTAGGCTTGCCACATCCTGCCTTCCACTCACGGGATCTATCCGACCACTGTGCAAAGGCATTTGGCAACGGCCTTGACTGGTCCGATTCCCTGCTTTGCCCGCATGAGGTCTGTTCGGAACTACAGGTAGTAACTAGGGTCGGACAAGCAGCAGATGGATCAAGGCTGAACTGGCGGCATACAGAAATCTCGATTCAGTCAAGGCCGGCTACACCCCCACGTCGAAGGAGACTCCGATATTTGCTGGGCCGACCGCCTCAGCAAATCCTCCCTCCGACTTGGTAGGATCTTTGTCAGGAGTCAGAGTTAGCTCGATGTTGGCACGACCTGATGCATGCAATGCGTTCAATGTGCTCTTTGGGATCAGGGCATATATCTGAAGCCTCATGGAGCTTGAGCCGTTTTAGGGTTCAGGCTCCTGCACCCCGGCCCTTGGGCAGCTCAAGCTGCATCATATCGGATGCGTGGGCCCTTTACGGTTCTCAATACTTTGATGCTTTCGGACATGACGGCCTAATTGTGAGCAACCTAGGCACATCCACGGCTTCCTAAGATCGCCCCCACCAGCCCGAAACTTGGGAGATGTTCATTGCGGTTCGTTGGCCACCAAGCCTCTCTTGCTTCAGATCTAGCACGAAGGCCACGGGGGGATGGATGCAGCTTGGGATGTGGTGGTTGTCCCCCTCTGAATACGCGCCACGGCTTCAGGAACAAAGATGAGGCTCAAGCTGCTACTTCGTGCTTGACAGGCTGTCTTGATGAGGCTCCTCATGCCCAGATTGTTCTCGCAAGCATTGTACGGCGAAGTGCAGGCCAAGCAGCATGAAAGTTCATATCTAGATGGAACAGTAACAGGACCCGTGGATGCAACAGCGACCAAGCGGAGAAGAGCTAGCAGCCGTTGGCTGGCATTGGAAAAGCAGGCATGACAAGCATGAACAAATGGCACGTTGTGCACCCTGCACGCAAAAAACAAAAGCACTCAAAACTCAAACACATCGGCCACCGGACCAGGAAGCAATTGGACGAGTCTTTGGATTGCAAGTACACATAGCTCAGGCTTGCTTCCAAGCTTGACACACAACAGAGCTCAAATAGAGCGAAATCACAGACATGGTGCAGCCGCCCTGGGGGAACCCCTCTGTGTCGACATGAGGTTGCCTAGATTCGAGAAACTCACATATCCATCAATACCGAGCCAGAAGCAGAATCTGAATAAAAGTTGACGTAGCGCCCCGAACAATGATTGACAACAGAATCACTTACGTAGCAAAGGAATAGCAGGCGCCAAGCAAAAACCATGCTGCATATACTTGCTGGGGAACACGGCAAGGAGCGCAGTAATTTTACCAGGATGAACGAGGCCCTGGTTTCATGCTTACTGCCGTCGAATTGCTCGTGGTGCCCGGAGTGACCCCCGATGACCCAGTATGAAACCACTGCTGTCCGTCCAAACGCATTGGTAGCTTTCATCCTACTCTGTCAGATGTACTTTTCGATGCCCAAAGACCGATCAGCCTTCTCGAGGAAGCTTTACGAAGTGCGTTGCTTTAGACGGCCTCGAGAGCCCTCTAAGGCTTTAGGTTGCTAGGTTTCAGGGTCTATGCTTGCAAGCTGCACGTGGCTTTTCAGAAAGATGGTGGCAGCGGCTTTTGGGATCAGCCCCGCACACCAAGCCCCGAACCGAAAACCCAAACAGCATGCCAAAAATTAAACCTACGCCCTAGGCCCGGAATCGATAATCCAGGCTCTTGTAACTAAGATATCCCAGGTCCCAGGCCTTGCTCATAGCGGCTGACGAACTGGAGCGGCGTGTTCGGGATCCTTCGATTGAGGATTCAGAGCACAGGGTTTACGAAATTCGAGCATCGGGTGTAGGATGTGGGATTTAGAGTGTGGGATTTGGAATTCGAGGGCCTGGATTTGATTTTATTTTGCATGCCTCAACCGTAACGAGTCTTCCGCCGCTAATGCTCGCTGCGTAATTCTGGCTGAAGATGGAGGAAAGCCTTCTTCCGAGTGTGCAGACCGCCTGCTTCCCCTTGGGCGAATCTGTGAGGTGAGGGTTTTGGATCAGAGGAACCTCCTCCTGCCGTTGCCTGAAAAGCCGGGTATTGCGGACATCAACCCTAAACCATAAACCCCAAAAAAACTCCGCTCGGAATGCTAGTTCTGATTTAGGGTTTAGGGTTCAGGGATCTAGGACTTTCATCCAATGCCCTCCAAATCTTTCCCAGAAGCTCGAATGCACTTTGGAACCTGCCGAGCCTAAGCCCGAAACTCTACACTTCGAAACCTTAAAGACTCAACACTCAGCCCAGCCCTAGGCCCAAGGTAGGAGACGCTCTACAACCCGAGAGTTCAGGCCCGGAATCGAAACTTTTTTCCGGGCATAGGGTTCTTATGGCGTCGGGCTAGGAGTTCAAGATGTTGGTTGCTCATGGGGTTACGGAGCAAGGTATAGTACAGGAAGTTTTAGATAGGGTCTAGTGGGAGTCCTTTGGCGGATGACACGGGAAACTGGTGAAGCTCCCTCTATACTGGGTGGGCATGGGAACGTAGGGTAAAACGGAGGCTGACAGATAGCTTTGCGAGACTCATAAACAGCGGGGCTGATGGCCGGGCAGAATCACAAAATCCTGACTTCAAACATGTATGCTTGATACTCGTGCGCTCCGCCACCGTGTAATATCGCACTTTTCCGTTATTTGCTGCACGAGCTTGGCTTGCTAGAAGCCCCTAAACTCCAACAGCCCTCAGCCGGTGCTTCCCCGTACCCCACGACAAGCAGCCGATAGGAAGTCGACAGCACAAAGGGGCTGTTGCCATCACCTCGGCAGCTACCGCCGCTACCAACTGAAGCTCAGGGCTTGAAGCCGAAACCCTACCAGGACCCCACATGGTCCTGAATAGCGTGAATGTGGGGCTCTAAGACGGGTCGTTGGGCATGGGGCAGGGAGATATCTTCGATTCGATGTTTAGGATGGCTCAGGGTCTGCGGCGCACCTGAAACCTGCTCCCTCAACGAAGTAGGGCCAGTAGGGGCAAAGAGCGTCTCAACCACTGCTCAACTTCAAACCCCATCTTTGGCGTTTAGGGTTTAGGGTTTAGGGTTTCAAGGTCGGGTTTCGGGCTCAGGGCCCTCGAGTTTTTCTGAATTAGTTCCGGCATGTCGGACCCTCCACCCCTATAGCTATACGCAGACCTGGAGCAAACTGGTACTACATAACCCTGAGGCACATGGCTGCAGATGTGAAACCTACATGGCGCTTAAGGTCCGCGGTTTCCTGAAACTCTCAGATTGGACTCTGCCCAGGCTCTTTTTCCCGGCAGGTTTGGGGGTGCAGTTTTCAAACCTGGGGGCTTAAGGTTGGCGGGAAGGCTTTGATTCTTGAGCTGGAATCCTACCTAGAGTCTCCCTTGTAGTTCCTTTTTGGGGATACCTTATAGAAGCCTTAACAGAGAATTGGTTAAACCAAAAAAAGGAACTACAATGGAGACTATAGGTACGTTCGATAATCCAAAAGCCGAACCCGCAATCTTCCCTGAGTGGACCACGTACGGCTTGAGCTTTCGCCGCGAGGTCCTGCATCTGCTCCTGTCTCAAGAGACTTGGGCTGAAGCAAGATACCCCAGGGTTTGTTTTTTTTTGTTTGTCCCCTCTTTTCCACCTGCCTTGTTAAGTTAGGTCAGGGTTTGGGTTTTAGGGTTTAGGGTTTAGGGTTTAGGGGCCCAGAATTCGAAACGCCCGACTGAAATGCACATCCGACTGTAAGAGAGAAACCTAGCCCGAGCAACTGCCGAGCCGGGCTGATGAATCTCAACGTGATGCGCACGGTTGCGGCATGTATTGGCCCGAAACCCGGGAGCTCATTCGCCGTTTCCGTCAAGCATTAGCGACAGCATCCGAGAACAATCCACACCCGTAAACTGCCTCACAACTTCAAACCCTGCTGAGAATTGAGCCCTAAACCCTAAGACTTGTTCAAACTGGTTCTTAGCCTTGAGTCTCTGAACATAAATTAGTAGCCCCAATCCTTCACCCTACAATCTAAGTTTGTAGTCTCAGGCCGGCGAAGTGTGAAGCCCTGAACCCAAAATCCCTAAACCCTCAAGCCTCAACCCTAAACCCCCTGAAACCCCAAACCCCCAAAACCCTAAACCCTAAACCCAAGCCCCAAACCCCCAAAACCCTAAACCTTCGGACCTTAAACCCAACGCTCCGCTGGCCTGGAGCCGGAGAACCACCGCCAAGGTGGAGCGCTGGAGCACTGCGGCACGGGCGCGCTCCTCGGACACTCTCAGCTCAGAGGGTTTTGGGGGTTCCTTGAAAGGGTTCTTCAAGGGCTCCTACAAAAGTTCCTTTACGGAATCTGTAGATTTCTAACAGGATTCCGGGTTCCATAAGGTTTCCTATCAGGGCTCCGGTACGGGCACCTCTACGGCTTTAACGGATTTTGGGGGATGAAGGTTTAGGATTTATTTCGAGTGCTTGCTTGCTCTGAAACTGCAGGCTTAACGAGTAGACGCGAATGTTCAGGGCTTATGGCAACCTGTAGGGGTTGAAGGTCAGGTTGGGGGCTTTGGTTACCTTGACCCCAATGAAGGAAGGCATCTACTACCTCACTTGTCATCTGGCTCTCGTAGGGTCCGGGGTTTAGGTAAGCGTTTGAGGCAGAGGCATAAGGCAGAGGGCTCAAAGTGGAGGATGTCGCAGCGTGGGTTCGGATTTGTTCGAGGCTTAGGCAGGCAATGCAGCAGAAATTTGAAGTGACGATTTTCGTCAGCGCTTTCAAGTATAAGCACCTGTGACGTTCCCAAATTCATCGGAGGACCTCCTGGAACCCCGCCCCCGGTGGCGGATGGGAGGAGATCACAAGCTTCAGGCCCGGCTCTTAATCTCAGAACCGAAGCGCCGAAGCCCAAAAAGCCCTCCGATTTCATGTCTCTAAAGCTCTGACTCCCGCGACCCACCCTGCCTCTGCCAACGCGGCTTCTGCATCAACCTCATAGAATCGGAGGCTGCAGCTTTGAGGCTACAAGTTTGTAGCTTTACCCCCTTCTGAGTGTTCGTATGGGCCGGGATGGCTTCACAGAAGTGGTTGAAAAAGGATAACGGCTAACGCAATTTGGCACCTGCCGTAATTGGCTTCAAATGCTTGGGACGAACTAGAAGCCCGAGCCGAGTCAACAAAGGGAAGCAAAACCAGATCTAGGCTTTAGGGCACGCACGAGACATCCCGTTCAAGTATCCTTTACTCCATACCTGAACACAAAATCCAAAGCCCCAGCTCAAAACCTTGAAACTCAACAGCTCGAAATACAAAATCCGAATTAAACACAAAGCTCGCAATCAACCCCTCATCCAAATCCCAAACCTGTAGCCCGAGCATGACCTGCCCTACCGCTCTCAGCCCCGGTGCCTTCTGATCCAGCTGTGCGCGCAGCCTGGCAGATATCGCACCGGCGAAAATCTACGCCCTAAGATTCATTACATACCCCTAAATGATGCAACTATATCAACTATGGTTTTGAGTCTGAGAATTTTGAGTTTCAACCTGGCTGACAACAGCAGTAATACCCCTTTGCCTTCTGACACTATGTTCCATTGGCTTGGAAACAGGCTGGGAGCAATTTGCAGAATTGCCGAATTGCCCACGTGGGCAGGGCTTTCATGTCCTATCCCTAAACCCTAAACCCTAAACCCTAAACCCTAAACCCTATCGGCGAGGCTTCGAATAGACGGCTCTGCAAAACTTGCCGCTGGCCGACCAGGCACGGAGGATCAGAGACTGATCGCCACAAACATCCACGGTCGCGGCGTGAGCCACATCACGGCGAATCGAAACACAAAACCATACTTGGAGGTTCACCCATATTAGGGGACTTATAACCCCACTTATAACTACCCATGAACCTCCAAGTAGGTGAAGAAGTTCTATAGTCGTGCTGAGAAACTTATGTCTGACATCGGCACTGCCAGTAAAATTGAAGCAGGTCAACACTAGAAGCCACAGCTTGCAGAACCAATTGCGACACACGTATGTCCTGGTACTATGACCGAGAAATTCGCCGATACATGCACCTTGAACAGCCCCTAGACTCCAAATCCGAGACCATTACTAAACAATCGACCCCAAAGCCTAGACTCTCAAAGCTCTGAACGTATAGTAGAAAACCCCAAGGAATATTTTCGGTTTTTGTTCAGGCGTCTTCTGCACTGGACCCTAAACCCGAAACCCTAATACCGTAGCACCAAAAACCTTGAACCCTGAGCCCTAAACGTTAAACCCCTGAACCCTGAGCCCCTGAATCCTAAGCTCTTTCTTAGCCTCCGCCGCTCGGGCTCGTAGTCCCAGGTGCTGCCGGTGGAGAGCTCTGCAGCCTGACAAGCGGGTTTAGACGCTACTACGGTTCAGGCTTTAGGGATTAAGGTGCAAGTGTAGGGCTCAGGGGTTTAGGATTCAGGGCTTAAGGAGCAGGGTGTAGGGCTTAGAGTCTTAGAGTTTGTGGTGCTAGAGGGCAAGATTTAGGATTTGGGAGGCTTGGGGATGAAGGTTTGGTAGGGGGTCTTCGGTCGTTGTATGTTTTGCGTGTATGTGGTGGCTTCCGGAAATAGGGGACCCCAATATAGTACCCTAAAAGTAGGATCCTTAGTCTAGGGGCCCCAAAATAAGGTACCCCTTATTTTCGGAAACTCCCGTGTGTGTTCGCTTCCGCAGTGTTTAACAATCTGATAGGCTGGTTGGTGAGCTTTGGCCGGTTGGGCTGCAAATCTGTTGGGGACTGCACCCCCAAAAGTCAAGCCCCCGAAGCACTAAACTCCAAAAACTCAGACGAACTGCTTGATTGTATGCAAGGGCTTTGTGCTGCGAGTTTGTGTAGCTGTTGACTTCCTCCTAGCTAGGTTTAAGGCTCCGGGATTTGATGGTCCGCAGCAGTTGAACATGAACCGCGGCGGGAACCAACATCTTAGTGTTTCCTGGGGTTGGCTTGCAAGCTTCATTCGGCACATACCTTTGGACATTCGGGTTGGAGGGCTTTGGCCCGAAAAAACCGTTCGTGCGTCCGAGTGCCCTTGCTCGACGGTCCAAGGTGAAGCGTGAGCCAACGCAAAGCTAAGAGTGCCTCTTCGCGGGCTCATAGGAACTACCTACCAGAACCATCAGTCAAGGCAAGACGGTGCAATCATCTGCAACTCTTTTCGGAGCATGTGCTTCTCCTTCTGGGACAAATGCAGAAGCAAGTGTACACCCGGGTGAAACCATATCAGCACGCGGCGAATCTTCTCGCAGAAAGCCCCGGACGCCGCACTTCCCTGTGAGCCGCGTTTCAGCTCACAACAGTGCAGTGCAGGCCTGAAGCCTTGAACCCGAAATCAAGGCTAAACCCTGAACTAAACTCTAAAGCGTGTTGAAACTCTGTAAACCGCCTACATAGTCGACTCGTGGAGGTCGTCATCGCCCTTTGAAGCTTTCACTTCTTCGGGCTTTTCCTCCGACCTTTCTTCAGCTTTCGGCTCCTTCTGGTGCTGGTCGTAGGCGGCAGAAACGAGCTCGATGAAGGCCTCCCTACTGTTGATGGACAAAATCCTGCATGACCCAAATATAGTATAGTACCATAAACCCCATAGTTTAGGTATATAGGGTCATGCAGGATTTTGTCCATCAACAGTATGGCTTGCCTTGGCATGATCGCGTCGGGATAGCCAGAACAAGGAGCGCAGGTAGAAGAGAAGCACCGCGATCAGAAGCAGCGCGACTGGCCAGAATGTGATAGACATTACAGGCTCCTCTAGAGTGACCTCACATCACGGTATTGCAGCAACATGATGCTTTATTCCGGTAAAGAAATAGCGAGTAAACCCGAAACCACGAAACCATGAAACCAAAACTGCCCACGGCCGAGGCACAAAGACGGCAAGCGGAATAGAGATCCCGGCGGTCACCAGGCACAAGATGAGGCTTACGTCCACCAGACTGTCTCTGTGGAGGAGCACAAAGTACAGAAGGTCATCTGGGTCATGCACGTAGAAGCTCCTTAGCTTTCGGGCTCGGCTGCAAACGCTCTGTCCCCAAACCCTCGCCAAGCCTCACATGAGGTCAAGGCGCAGCTTTCCTAGTTGGCTGACTCCGAGAATGTGGTCCCAGACTGGGTCCCAAAAACATGAACTCCAGCTGCTTATAGGATGGCAACCTCTACTTCGGAACAACCCTTAGCAGAGAGTGTTGCAATTGAAGAATCAGTGGGCAAAAGACCCCCTGCTTAATTGGAATAATGTTTTAGTATAAGTTAAACTTACAATGGGAAGCCTAAGGGGCCGTATTGCTAACTACCTAAGCCCCTGTCTTCATCTTTGGGTGCCTTCGGGTTTCTGACTTTGGCGCTTCTAGGGCTTTGGGTTCTGATGAGCGAGACAGGATTTAGGGGCAAGTTCGGTATGTAGGGTTGTCGACTATAAGGGTTTTCGCTGGTCTACGGTTTCGGTCGGACTGCTTGGAAGCTCCAACGAAAATCCAGCACATGTGCGCTTCACCAAGCAGAAGTCCCTCAACCCTGGAGCCAAAAGCCTTTTTGCCTCAGCCCTGAGAACTCACAACCCTTACACCAACACCCTCAGTGGCCACGGCTTGACAACGAGGCTCATATGTACCAGCAGCATGATCGACAGGATGACGGAAATGAGCCCCAGGGTCGCACTGAGGAATAGCAGCACGGACAGACCCTGGCGAGTTGTAGATAGCTTTTCCCGTCTGGGTGGTGGAGCATTACAAGTTTAGTCTTTGCGAAGGGGCACTCGAACACCTCGAATCGAAAGTTCCGAACACTGCAGCCTCTACCCCCATGACCCCGGACCCACTCGTCCTAGCCATGATACCGAGAAACATTTGAAGACATCTTCAGAGCACTGCCTTCGCTCCGAGCTCGCGCAAGTCACGCCACATGTCATCTGCAGACGACTTCTTAAAGGGCTGGTTCATGGCTGAGTACTTGGAGGATCATGGCACTTAGTAGTAAGGTTATAAGTCCCCTAATTGGGGTTATAAGTATAGTTACCTCAGTTATAACCCTACTTCCTAAGTCCCATGATCCTCCTAAACCCTAAACCCTAAACCCTAAACCCTAAACCCTAAACCCTACTTACTAAGTCCCATGATCCTTTAAGTACAGGATGCTGAGGATGAGAGCCCCAACCACGCCCATGTTTCTCCAGGTTGTTCCTGGGGAAAGGGGGGGGGTATCATGAGCTCGAACTGGGTAGTATAGGGGCCTTAAAGCCCCAAGAAAACGGGTGGTGTGACAGATAATACTTTAAAAGTATGGGGGCTATGAGGGAATAACATTCCTAATTCTTCTAACCTGTATGTTTCCCTAAGTCAAAGTCCCACAGTTGGAGAAAGTGGGACTCACTCGTTACCTTCCGGACCTTCATGTGGAAGTGACCTCACAGCCTCAAACCCCCAATTCCATGGACCCTGAACTCCCATTTACGTAGGACCAACCTCGGCTGGGTGGCTCTTCCCGAGCCCCTCCGGATTGGGTCTAGCCTTCTGGCTAGGATCCTACAATCACCCAAGGTTGAGGGTTTAGGTTGTAGGGTTAGGAGTTTAGGCAAGCAGGCAACCCAATAACAGCTTTGAGGGTCGGTGTGAGACAAGCCCTGCTAGAGTCGGATCGGCCAAACAAAAGCAGGAACAGAGTGGAGGAGTCTATAATACTATAATACTATAGTACTATAATACTATAATACTATAATACGATAATACTATAATACTATAATACGATAATACTATAATACTATAATACGATAATACTATAATACTCTAATACTATAATACTAACAACATACAGGAAGCAGATCTGAAGCAACCCCCCCAGAAGGCTACCCTTAAATGAACGGTGCGATCCCAAGACAGGAGCTGTACGTTGAACAACAAGGTATCCCAAAACAGAGCCAGAACCAAGCAATAAGATTTGCTAATCGGATTAACAAAGGAACACGTGGCTCAAATTAACGTAACCGAGGAAGGAACTTGACTTTTTGATGGAAGGCAGAACAGGCCGGGAGCTATATGACAACCCTTTCGGACATATGCTTTTGGAAAGGGAAGGTGCCTAAGCTCGCGGAAGACTTGGAAACGTGCTTGTGGGTCGGTTGGCTCAGGATTCTCCTAAACCCTAAACCCTAAACCCGGCAACTTGGGGACCTCATCTTTGCATCTGGTACGGCTCGAACCGCCCTCCGAAACCCCGAAAGCCTTAAACCCGAAGCCTCTGACCAAGGGTCTGTTTCTTGGACACGGTGGTCTCCCAGCCCTCTTGGATCAAGCTCACTGCAAACTGATATCCTGAGCGAAGAAGGCTCAGGGTTTAGGGAGTTGAAGACCCTAGGCTTCGGAGTTAGAGAAGGACAGAGGGATAGAGGCTCTAGCCAGCCCCCCTAGGCACCCTTAACGGTCTTGCTGGACCATGGATGCTCAAGCCATCACCGGGGCCGAGCTAAGGGGGTGACAGGATTTAGGCTCGGAGCTTCGGCTCACAGCCCTGTTTGCGCACAAGGCTTCGGCATGGGATGTACAGAGCCGATGTTAGGAGAATTGAGGAAAGCCCCAAACTCCATAAGCCCCCACCCCCCCCCCCCCAATTTCACGAAGTTTAGGGTGTAGGCTCCGCAATCCTAAGCCAAGACACACCATGCAACGCTCGCCCTTGGAGCGGAGCATCGCAACCGATGTGTCGGGGAAATCTTTCCTTGGCATTTGGCTTCTTTCAAGGCCTATGGGGCCTAGGACTGGGATTTAGGGCTCAAACCAGAAAAAGGACATACTGAACCATCCCGGATTCGGGTCGTCCGATGCCCGTAACATGTCTTGGACATTGGAGGACCAACTGGACAGAACTGGTTGCGAGAGCTTCTTGCTGAATGCATCCATGGCCGGTGGTGTCTTTGCCACCGGGCCGGAAATACTCTTGAGCCAAAGAGGCCTCGAAGAGTCGCATGCGCCCCTACAACCCCCAACCCCACACTGCCCCAAAACTCAGAGTCCTGGGGCCCTGAACCATCCAGCCCATAAAGCTCTCCAAAGACCGTTGTACCACCGCCCCCTAAACCCTAAACCCTGAACCCTAAACCCTAAACCCTAAACCCTCAAAAGGCAAAAGCCTCAAAGAGAGCAAAGCAAAGCTGGCCTCGGCTTTGAACTTCTTCTCCTCTTCGTCCACCTGAGACGCAGAAGTCGAAAGTTTAAGACTTGGGACTTAGGGGGCTTCGGGGATCAGGCTTCGGGTCTCTGAGGTTTCGGAATGTGGGGGTTTCTGAAAATAGAGACCCTAATATAGTACCCTAAATAATAGGATCCTTATTATAAGGACCCCGAAATAAGGTACCCCTCATTTTCGGAGACTCCCATGTAGGTAAACCCGGGTCCTTGTGGTTCTTGATAAGGGCCTAAGCCCTCAGGCCCTTAGATGGCAGAGATGGTACTTCAGACCTTGCTGGAGAGTCCAGTTCGGCATTCGGGATCTAAGGCATAAGGCTCAAGCCATGAGTTGTTGGGGACTCGCATGCTTTCTTCAAGGGTAGAGCTTCGGGTTAAACCTTGCCCGTGGAATTCAGGGGTGGCATGCTCACTACACATTGCGAGTTTTAGGTTTTAGGCTTCCTTCAAAGCGCTATCGAGCTGGGGATACCAGCAAACCCGAGTAGGATCGAACTCCGCAGGCAACCCTACACCCCGAATCCCAAAATACACCGATTCAGCACTTAAGGTGTAGTTCAAGGCTGGTGTGAAACCTCGAAATCCCGATGCCCTTCAACCTGTTATGCCTAGAGACTTCCCCATGTGAGACTTATCCTCTGCCGCATCAGCGCCGTTGGAGTCAGAAGACGAATAGGGGTGTTTAGGGTTTAGCGTTTAGGGTTTAGGGTTTAGGGGTTTTCGAGAGCCCCGAAACCCGGAATCCGGAGGGAACCCTCCTGGTCTGACTCTGCCAGGCCGCCGCGTCCAAGTCGCAGGGCACGTCTGAGGTGGCATGCTTGCTTTTCAACTCCTGAGCCCAGAAGCACTGTTCAGCTTCGCGTTTGCAGGATGTGCGGGCCGAAAAAAAGGAAACCCAAAGCCCCATCCGGAATGAAGGGTTCCGCCCTTGGGCCTATCAAGGATATCACGACTGTCGCGGGAATCATCTAAACTATTGGAAATATGGTATACTCCTTACTACGGGTAAGGCAGGACTTACATCAACCGACAGACTGCTAGAATGGTTGAGAGAAAACGGACTTAGCAAGAGCACCTGCGATAAATACTCTCAACATGCGCACAAACCATTAACATGCGTCACATCCTCATGCAAGCAATATTTGGTGGCTGGTGGTCGTCGGCGTCCAGCGCAGTGGTTGTGGTTCTCGTTACGGCTGTTGTAGTCATTTCAATTTCTCTGCTAGCAAACAACCGATAGGTTCCAAATACGAAGGTAAACATGAGTACGGATTCAAATACGAATATACATCTAAATTTGGATAGCAATGAACACATACATATGAAGACATATAAATACACGTGTACGTAAACGTATAGTAAACGTACAAATGCGCATGCAAAAAATAGATACGCATACAAACTGAATTGCAAATGCAGATGTGACTACAAATTTATGCATTTGTATAGGCGCCTGTGAAGGTCAGCGCAGATCTACATATGATCTATATATGATATACACATGTGCATGCTTACCTACATTCTGCTGCAGAGACCCCCCAAGCTTAAACCCCATAACCCCACCCCGAAGCCCGGAGCCTTAAACCCTGAGCCCCATCTACTTGGAGGTTCATGGGTAGCTATAAGTGGGGTTAGAAGTAGGGTAACTATACTTATAACCCATATTAGGGGACTTATTACCCCACTTATAACTACCCATGAACCCCCATCTACAGAGCCAAGTCGCGTGGATCTGCTTGATGAACAAAGGCTCCAAGGCACCTTCAGAGCTTCGAGGTTTGGGGTTTAGGGTTTAGGGTCTAGGGCTTAGGGTTTAGGGTTTGTTGTCAACTTATGGTCCCTTTTTGGGTCCTTATTATAATACGGCACCTATTATTTAGGGTACCCCAAAACGGACCATAATTTTGACAACTACCTGTTTGAGGTTTGGGCTTTGCAGTCTAGGGTAAGTATCGATGCCTTGATAATTGGACTGGAAGTTTCGGGCGGGGACACATGGTAGTGCTATCTGCGAGGACTGCAGGGAACGGTATTATCAATGACAAAATATTCCGACGCCTACATTGCGGGGTTTTGCGGTAGCGTGCGCAAAAGATGGCTTTCCGGACCTTCCACCGCTTTCTCGAGATCTGCGCCGCCCCGGCGCGCCTGTGGCGATCCGGGCGCTGTGGCTTCCAACAAAGGCCTAGAGTACTAGACTTGGGCGTATGGGGCGTACGGGAGGGCGGTACACGATTAGCTTGTGTCACACCATATAAACATAAACACCATGTTCGTACATGTTTGAACTCCGACAAAAGTCAGCAAACGGTTGAATAGATCCAGCTTAGACCTCACTGAACGTTATGCTAAACCCTAAACCCCAATAGCCTAAGCCCTAAACCCCTGAACTTTACCTGGTTTTGCCAAGCTACTGAGACCTGGTTCTCGTTGAGGTACTCAGGCTCAGGCAGCTATCATTGGAAGGAGGCACAGCATCTGCTATATCTTTAGAAGTATTGTAAATCATATTCAACTTGTTCACAAAGACCCTGCACAAAACCCAGCCTCCGCCACGATGCTTGCGGCTTTCTCGCCGAAGTTGGGTACCAAGTCACCGGTCTGGCGAGAGGTTTGCAAAGTAGTCTCCAATCGCGTAAGGGGTCTGGGAACGGGGGTTCAGGGTTCTGCAGTCAAGGTCTGAACATGGAGAAGTGCAAAACTGGTGTGTAGGCGCTCCCGTCCCGGAGAGCGCTCACTCGGGATATCCAGAGGGCTACGGCTTTAGGTTTTGGGGTGTAGGGTTAAGGGTTGAAGGCGGGTCTATCGAGTGATTTTCAGACACCTAAACTGAAACTAAGCCACTAGGCCGCATTGCAACTTAAGAACCAGATAGATCGAAAGTCTCATGGGGCTTGGAGTGTTCTACTTGGGCTCAGGGGCTCGTGTGCGAATTTTTACGAGTTCGGACAAGGGAGCTGTTGGTTTACAATGCCGGATTTGGAGGTAAAAGTACGGTTTACCAATGAGGGCTCACTGGTCGACTGGTCGAAGCCTCAACTCGTCCAGAAACTGAAAAAATCCCCCACTCTCCAAGCCCCAGCTCTCCTTGGACCCAGCAACTCCCGATACGGTTGGTGATATAAATCCTGCATTACCCATAATAAGGAATATACCATAATTCCCGTAGCTAGGGACCTTAAGGTAATGCAGGATTTATATCATCAACAGTATGAAGCCTCACTGCCAACTCGATGGAGAAAACTATCCTGACACTCCATCGAGACCCGAAGAAACTGACAACCTCCGGTAGAGGCCGTCTGCGCATGCCGACTCCCAAAATGTACATCCCAAACGATGGTATGTAAAATCTGTACTATCTGCTGCGTATTGAAATCTTACTACCATACATACATACATACATACATACATACATACATACATACATACATACATACATATACTACTAGATCCTGCCATGAACCTTGAAGTAGCTGAACCTTCAGGTGCCACCCAAAAACGTCCGCAGGCGCTCCTGAACCTGCGCCTGGAGGTCCCTCACCTCGCCGCAGCAACAGCGATTGGGGCTTAAGGCTTAGGGTTTAGGGTTTTAGGGATCATGGTTTAGGGTTTAGGGCTCCAGCCGGGGTACTACCCCAAAGTTCAGGCGTTCACGGTTTAGTGTGCTTATGTGCAACCTTGGAGGCCTCCAAGAAACCGTCTCCGAAGTTGGTGGGTGCCTCCCCTTTGCTGCCCCCGTTAGGAAGGCCCACTTTGCAGAATAAAAGTTTGCAAACGCAAAGTGTCCACGCCTTCGCGTTTACACATGGAGCAAAGATCACAGGGCGCGAGGGGGCGCTCGCCGATATACACACCCGAAACCCTAAACCTCATAAGCC